TACCCTGTCCCACCCCTACCCCAATTCCGAGACCCTAAACCTTAACTCCATTACTTTCATAGAGGTCCCCGAAGTTAGAAAAGGTATCGTCGGAGCTGTATGAGATTTTCTAGGATAGTTAGAACAAGAATCACAAAGCAATTTCAAAGGTAAGTAATTTGCATGATTTTGATCTAAAAATCTATACCCAGTTATTTAGCCATCCCCAAAATAAATAGTAAATGGTGATGGTTCTTTTGTTTCAAAAATGGTGATGCTTCTTCGCCGTGTTTAGTTCCAAAATAATTCTTCAAACTTCCAACTTTTCCATCACATCAAAACTTTTCTACACACAAAAACTACCAACTTTTCCATCACATCGTTCCAATTTCAACGAAACTTCCAATTTTAGTGTGAACTAAACACAACCCTTGTTGAGTTGTTGCGTGCGGAGTGTGGCACTGTGGCCACGTGGGCCCATGACCTTAGTTGTTAAAGTATATACTAGGTTATATTAGGACACATTTTTAGTTGTTAAAGTTTTAAAATGTTTCGTAAAATAGTCTTAGAACACTATACACCATATTGTCTCAAAATAAATAAATTCCTAGCTACGAATTTAAATGTAGGCTATGTCCAAATTTGTCTACATCCAGATTCGTAACCAGGAACTAGTTTATTTTAAAATGAAGGAAGTATATATTAATGACAAGAGGAAGGGAGTATAAGAATTTAGATCGCATTGCCAATAACCAAATCCATCAATTAACTACTACATCCGTCCCAAAATAATGGTCACTTTGACTTTTTTCTTACGATGTTTGACCATTCGTTTTATTTGAACAATTGGTCCAAATATAAAAATTGATAAGTCATACTTAAAGTGTTTTTGATAATAGAGCAAATCACAAACAAAATAAATAATATTTTTTTAATTTTTTAAATAAGACGAATGATCAAAAGTTAAAAAAAAATCAAAGCGACAAGTATTTTGGGACGGATGTAGTAGTACCCAACATCCCGTGTTTGTGGGGAGAATTTACTATTTGTCACTCTACCAAAATGCTACTCCCTCCGTTCCATAATATAAGAGATTTTAAGTTTTTGTTTGCACTGTTTGACCATTCGTCTTATTCAAAAATTTTTAAAATTATTATTTATTTTTTGTTACTTACTTTATTATCAAAGTACTTTAAGTACAACTTTTCGTATTCTACATTTGCACAAATTTTTTGAATAAGATGAGTGGTCAAACAGTACAAACAAAACTTAAAATCTTTTATATTATGGGACGAAGGGAGTAGTGCTCAAATACCATTCTCTCAGATTTTTATTCTCAAATATCACCTAGGGCCACATGTCAGCCTTACTTTACATTCAAATAAAAGTGAGGCTGACATAAAGACTCGAGTGGTATTTGGGAATGAATATTTGGAAGAGTGATATTTGAGCACCGGTATTTTAGTACAGTGACAAATAGTAAATTCTCACAGTGTTTGTGAGGGGGAAAAAAAGAAAAGAAACAATGGCGCATTATCACTGGGTGGTGGTCGGTATGGTTCGGTTTTGCGTTTCGATTGGCATCTTGTGCTTGGCCCATGGCCAGCCTCCCAAAGTCCAAAGCACAGATCCCCATCACTGCACGCGATCTCTAACTCCCGCCGGCCGCGGAGGGGCTTCGGGGCTTCACAGCTACGGAGCAACTTGCACGCAGGCAGACACGCACCCACACTGGACACGCACGCACACTGGACGGTGTGCGCGCGTCATGGAGAGGCACCGCCCTTTGTTGGATGGACTCATGTACCCAATAAAATTCAACCGGCATGTCATAATCTATCTATCAAAAGCACTGGTACACGTACAAACAAAGTTTTTCTTTATAAAACTCTTCCGAACAATAATCTCAACCGTTTAATTTAAATATATAAAAATCTACATGTACTCACAATATAATATGTGGTGTTGGTAAGAGTTTAGGTGCACCTAGACTTTATCTTTTGTATAATCCCAATCGATAATTTCAATTGTTGGCTCAGATTATCTACTTGATTATAGGGATAAATTAAATATTTTTTAAAATAACTTAAAATAGCTTAAAGATATGTTTTCCAAATCGTATAGAAATATAATCAGGTAATAATTATTGTCACATACTATCTTCCCAATTGATTGTAAGGATAAACTAAATATTCTTTGAAAAAACTTTAAATAGATTAAAAGTAGTGGTATAATAAGCAATATAGTTGAAAAAAAACTTTTTAGAAAACATATAATCTGAAGTAATCTAAAAAGAACAACGCATTTGAACTATTACTTTAGAATCCATCACTAGAAATTACATCATAACTTATTATTTTTGACATGATGGCATTTTAACAGTTCAGATTACCATAGTTTCTCTACCTACAAGAATAGTTGTTTCTCATGTAATTTTATACTGCACGTTACACGCTAACATTCTGTGGCAACATGCGTACTATCTAGGAATATATGGAGACAATAGCCCTATAGAGAGTGGAGTATAAATGTTTGCTCGCTGCTTACATTTATTTGCAACACACCACTTCAAGGCTACAGCAGAGCAGGGTGTATCCAACCCACACATAGCATCCTTAGGGTGAGTTTGACCTTAGGGTGAGTTTGAGGAGGAGGAGAATAAGAAGATTAGTAAGATAAGCAAAACGAGGTGAGCCATTAGCATATAATTAATTACGTATTAACTATTTTAAATTTTAAAAATAGATTAATATGATTTTTTAAAACAACTTTCCTATAGAAATTTTTTTGCAAAAAACGTACTGTTTAGTTTGGGAAGCGTGCGCGCGGAATACGATGTCCTTTCTCACCCTATGTCACCAGAACGAATGCTCCCTTGGACCATTCCCCAAAATATTGGCCCTTCCACAAGCAGATTAATAGGGTGCTAGGCTAAGCACTCAAAAACCAATAACATGACCATGCCTGACGACCCCCCTTATGGGCAACCTAATGGGTTTTAATAATATAAGTATCGTATAATTATGTATAGTACATCCCTAATAATTTTAGTCAATTATATTTTCTTTTCTTGCTAGCTATTTCGATAAAGAATAATTTAGAGTGAATAATACTTTAGGTGATTTATTATTGTCAAAGTTTCACTTTGAATTATAATATGTTTGAAGTTTTTACTTTGGACAAAAATCTATTATTGTCAAAGTGATAACTAAACGTAGCTATACTTTAGATTTATTATTGTCAAAGTTTTTACATTGGACCATCCTTTGTGTAATTGTGTTCCTTGCCTTTAACCTACTTTGCTGCCACTCACTCCTTGATTTCATTAGCTCACCAGCAAGTAAACACACCAGTCAAACACTCTATCTTGACCATCCAACACCTTGATTTTATTTTTTTGGCTCCTTTTCTCCCACCAAAGTCATGTGAGCTGAGAAAAATCACTTGATTGTGAGCTCACAGGCAATAACTACAGTAGTGAGCTGCCTTTTGACTTGATTTTGTGAGTTCGAGCTTAGGAACAGATCTGAGAGAAGAAATCCTAGTTATGTTCTTGCACGGGTTGATCCATGGCACCATCTCAATGAAGAAAAAACCAGTAGGAAGAGGAGAGATGGAGAAGAAAACTAGTCCAGTTTGAATCTTTTGTAAAACCACCTAATCCAAACCGAAACTTGGATAAAAATTACTAGTCCAAAGAGCAATTCACTCAATAATTTATGATCCGATTTGTCTCCTTTTTACCTCACTTAAATTATATCACCTTAGTTTTGCCTTTAGATGATCAATATATGTTTGATCTAAATTGTTATAGAGCACACATCTCAATTATTTATAGTTTTTTAAATGATTGTTCAAAGATGCAAATAACTATACAAAGCCAAAATTATCTTACATTCTACTTCCATCATTATTCCACAATATTATCGTATGAATACACATGGTTTCATCTAGTATAGCTACGTTTTTTAGCTACAAAACCAAATCCATCTTACAATCTTACATTCTGTAACACACTGGGTTTCATATAGTACAATCAAAAAGAGCAACACAATTAACAAGCTAGTTTAGTTATCACTTTAATTTTCAAGCATCCAAGGATCAACATCGATGTCTGTTTACACCCAAATTTGACACCTAGAGATAAAATAGGGAAAATTGTCAAAGTTTGGAAGTCTGCTGGTTTCCTCTGATTGGGAGTGTTGGCCGGTCAGACCGCCGAGTGAGGGCCAGTCAGACCGGCGGTGTGTGGCCGGTCAGACAGGCAGAATCTGAGTCCGGGTCTGTTTTCGTCGGATCTCGGGTTTCCTTGCTCGGGAAGGCATATTTCAAGTTTCCTTTGGATTCTATCCTGAGTTGGACATGGAGGAGGGCCTGTAGAGGACAAGACCAACCCCTATATAAGGGACATGACCGGTTCAATTGTAACTATCCAATCTACAATCAATCAATCGAATCGTTTTTCATATTGATTTTAGTTTTCTCTTAGTTTATCCATCTTTGTCGATTTGCGCCGTAAATCGTCCGCCGCCGTTGCGAGAGTGCGACACCTCTTCGTATGTTTGTCCTGAAAACCTTTCGTTTTGCCCACGAGACGGGTAGTTATCTAGAATCGGCTCCACTAGCCGGTTTAGTTATCAAAACCCATCTTGGTTTAGCTTTTGCTAGATTGAGGTGGTTGGCGACTCTAGGATCATGCAAGGCATTAGGTGCTACGATCGTGCTTATCAACTTGTCAAAAAAGTTGCCAACAATGTCTAATTAAATGGGCCAATGAGGAAGAGGTACGATAGATTGGGGGAAAAACAGCTATACACATATGACATATACCAGATCAGGTATGCGTTATCCACCAGCAAATATAAAACTCGGCTACGTGTCAATGGGCGAAAAATTAGACCCACATCCACGCCCATTGAGCATATCGTGTACGTATGCAATGTAGATATCACGTTAGATGGATACCAAATCAACGTACCGCGTAGACACTACATCAACCAAAACCACCTCGTAATAAACCACTGAGAAAGTCTCTGTATCCGGTGGACAAGAATCAGACTAGGTGACTCAGCTTATAAGTGAGAGAGGCAAAATAAACTCTTGCTATATTAAAACAAGTAGGAAAAACTGCACCGAAGATCTCTCAACTTGTCATTGGGATACAAAATCATCCTCGAACCGCAGAACCATATATGTTGGATCTCTTAACTATACAAAACCGGTCACCCAGGATCCTCCGGTGGTTTTGACCTCGGTTTTAGTCTACGTGGCGGCTGAGTCAGCGTGGGACTCACGTGGGCCCCACGTGTCAGGTGTCCACGTCGTCTCTCTCCTTTTCTCTCTCTCTCACTTCTCTCCTCTTGTGCAGGCCATGTCGTGACGAGCGTCGAGCGCCGCGGCCACCACCACGGCGAACTGTGGCAGCGAGGGGCAGGCGCAGCGGAGCGGGACGGTGAGGTTGTCGCCGGCGACGAGGCCAATGGCTGGTGCTGCTGCTAGTCGCCGTCTCCTTCGTAGGCAACTTCCCGGCCGGAGCACGACGAGCCTCCCGCTGGGCCTCGCCAAGAACGACGGCGCCATCAGGAATGGAGATAATCGGCATCCCGACGACGAGCACCAAAATAACAAAATAATCGGCACAATGGAATAATCGGCAAAATAATCGACGATCCACATGCTGGGCGCCAGCTGCCACATCACGATGTACTGCGCCGACGACGCCACCTGCACGCACCATCAACAACCAACCAACCATAAGCAAACCAAACCAAGCTTCGCATAGACGACGAAGACGAAGCAGAGAACATGATCAAGAACATACATGGCGGGGGGAGGATGGGGACGGGGGAGAGCGGGCAAGCGAGGACGGAGAGTAGCACGCGGTGGTCGGCGCCCGGGGGGGGGTGTCTTCCCCGGCGCCAGAGAGCAAGCGTGCCACCCGGTGCAGCGCCGCCTGCAGTCCCGACTTCCGCCGTGCCGCCTCCTCCTACCCGAGGTGTTCGGCCATGGGCGTGCCCGGGAACTCGGCCTCTACCTTCCTGGCCTTGGCGGCCTTCCGCTTCGCGGAGCGGACGCAGCGGCGGCGTCCACCTCGGACGGCGTAGCGGCAGAGTGTGGCGGGAACGCGGACGGCCGCGAGGACGACGAGCTCGACGACGTTGAAGGGAAAGCAGCAGCAAACCGCGGACGGCGCCTTCCTCCTCATACGCCCTCGCCGCCGGCCTCTCCGCCTCCTCCCTCTCCGCGCCCTCACCGCCGGCCTCTCCCGCGCCGTCGCAGCCGGAGGAGCCATCCCCTCCCCGCCACTGCCGCCGCCGGAGAGGCCACCCCCGCCGCCAACGCCGACGATGAGGTCCGTGCCCGGAGCCGCCGATGACGACAAGGCCGAGCGGCGCAGAGTCGTCGGCGCCGCCTCTCCCCATCCGCAACCGCGTTTGCCCACCGCCGCCGCCGCTCTCTTCCGCCGACGCCGCACCGCTCTTGCCCGCCGACGCCGCCTCTCCGCAGCCGTGCTCGCCCAGTCGCCCAGAGAAGACTATAATATGCCCGTGCTTACGGTGTAACTCTATTTGTCTTTAATAATTTTTAAAATTTTCATGTTAGCAAAAAAGATATTACTATATGAACTATACATTTGAGCTTTAATTCAATTTACTTCGTACATAAAATATATTTAACATAAAGTATAATAATATGATATACCAATTGATGCAGATATATAATGCATATATCTGTGCCCCATGTCATAATGCATAATAATATTATATTAAAGATATATGATAATGCGCATATATGTGTCTTAAGTCATAATGCATAATAGTATGATATATAATGCATATATCCGTGACACGCAAAATAATTTACAATGGCGTTGATATCTATTTATTCATCTCACAAGCGTCATTTCTGTATGTGGTGTGCTTGTGTGTATATATCTGCGTCATTATAATGCATCACTAGTGGGTGATATTTTTTTTATATAATATAGTGCATTTTCATATTATAATTATTTTTCTATTACATGCCCATGCTAATGCTATGGGGTGACATTTGATAACTCAAATTGAAAAAGATATAACATCATAGTGACTTGTGCACCTTCCTTGGGGTGCACTTCTTTTTTAGGCTTTGCCAAAATCCTTGTCGTTTTTCTCGACACCCCTCTTGATAATGCAACATAAAGTTGCCCATGCGAGAATACAGGCTCTGGAAGATAGATACCGACATTCGGGATGGTTTGTCCTTGTGATTTATTAATTGTCATTGCGAAACTTAGATGTATTGGAAATTGCTTTCTCTTAAACTTGAAAGAAAGCAAATATCATCTGAAGGAGATAGAGGGATCCTTGGTATGAACACCCTTTTTCGTGCATGATGTCCACCAACGATTTCAGCATCAATTGCATTGTCTTGGAATGCCCTGATCATTAATCTTGTTCCATTGCATAATCCATTGTTAGGATCAAGGTTGCGGAGGAGAATAGCATGGCAGTTAACCTTAACTTTCAGCTCATGTGGAGGGAGGCCATTTGGAGTTATCGTGTTAAGAAAGTCCAAAGGGTAGTTATTTTGGGAATCATCATCGACATAATCAAAGCTATGGTAAATCTTTTCCTCGCCAGGAAACCTGTCGATCATCTTCCTGTTCAGCTTATCCACGAAATCATTTTCTGTTGAGAGAATGGCCCGTGTGCTCATATATTCCGCGGAGGTCGTATATCTCTCATCATTAAGTGAGGGAAACACATATTCACATATTCAATCAGTGCGTTCACTGAATCTTCAATGTTTACATAACCAATGACAATTTCATCAGGCAGACGAACATAATCATCTTCGATCGTGTTTTCTATCCCGTTAACACCGCTGATATCAGCACGATATGACTCGTATTGACCTCGGTTCATTGATTAATTGCAGTTGGGTCTATAAAATTTCGCAGAGTTTTCACATTGAACATGTGGGGACCTATACTAACACTAGTAATCGTGCACGTGCAATGCACGTTTCCTATATTAACTATAGTAATCATATAAAAACACTTCAAATTTCTTGCATTTTCCTGTAATATATGTCAGGCAAAATATACAACATACTAAAAAGTTTAAGAACTATATGTACTATAATGTAACTTAACATACTCCTTTAAACAATAAAAAAATGCAAAGCAACTAACAATACCAAACATATAATTTGTCATAGCTTGATAAACACTTGAAAAGCTCAAAGCAAGATATTTGTATTTATGGTATTGAATTAAACCCCACAGCCTACAATATCTTATCAGGAAAAAAAACTCAGATCTTCACCAACAATACTTCAAATATATCCCTCATGGCCAGCAACTAAAAATAGCATTTACATGATCACCAATGAGGTGTATACAGCTCCTGCCGTGAGTCCACAGAAGTTCACGTGATCTACAAAACACAAATTTACATCCATTTCACTTGTAAGAAATGGTCATCACATATAATTTCAAAAAGAATATTGTCTATAGTTGCCTTAATTGAAGTAAAAAAGTAGATAGCAAGTGTGAACATTCCAGAAACACTAACATTTGTCAAAACGCCTCTATATTTTCCTTGACCACAATATTAATCTAAAGTGGTCATATTGCTAAACTATGCACACACCTGCAGTTGAAGTGGCAGCCACGAAAGGATCTACCAATCTTAAAATCTGGAGACCAATATCTTTCATGGAATTCCCACAAGGAAAGGGTTCCACTATTAGACTGGAAAAAGGGAAACATATCAAATCATGGAAAAGGCATAATCTGAAATTGGAATAGCGTATATCTTTTTAAGATTTAATTTAATCCTGGAGTCCACACTTTTTTCGTGAAGCTACAAATAAATAATATATCCACAATGGTGATGAAAAGGATTTAAAACATGGATATTAGCACTGGATTAAAAACATGAAAAGCACCTTACAATCCAAAAGCTTGAGAAGACATTAGCATCAGGCATCTTCCTAAGAAACCAAATGCTCTTTTAGCCACATCAAAATTTTCAAGCAAACTACGTATGTCCAAATAAAAAGAAATAACAAACCGTCCAAGCAAGCATATGCTGATGGATAAAATTTATGAATTACATCATTAGTAATTAGAAGTCATCAGCACAAAGCAAATATTCAAACTTCCCAAAAACAATGCAAATTATCAGAGGAGAAACATCAAAATCCATGCTTATAACTTGTAGAATATACACTGGATTCAACTGATGCACTTTTTAAGGAAATGAAGCCATAGTTCCATTGTCCTGAGCTCCAAAATTGATCATTGGTATATACAAAGGGGATATTCACTTATATTTAAGTCTGCTAGAATAAAACTCTCTTGACCTATGGAGTTATATGTGCATACATACAAACTGAAAGAGACGCTTACATTTAAGCTTGAGGACATTTCAACCTGATAGGCTCATGTCAAACCAACCGTTGAAACAAATCCGAAATTAAGTGATTACCAGCTAGAGTGACAGCTAAAAGCAAGCTCAACATTGCAATGGGGAAATTGCGATTAGGGAAATCTTGCCCGTGATTGCAATTTCGGAACAAAATTTTCAAAATTTTGCCCCCTCTCCACCGGCAAGCATATATCTCACCCGAAATTTCTCCTTTTTTCATGTTTTTGTGAATTTGGTCAAAGCTTATTCTAAATCATTCAAAATTCATCAATTTTTCAAATAAATTCAGTGATTTTGGTTCTTTCGCCCCCTCCCCCCACGGAAAAAACCCCAATTTCTAGAATGCAAACCCTGAATATTGCAGTAAAACTGCAGTGAAATACTTGGTGCACAAATGTCATTACGGGTGGCACCGCTTCAGGTTTTTTTTTTCTTTTGCAAAAAATTTGAGAGCATTACATCACCTGTGGCAGTTGTAGATTGATGCATCCTTCCGCTGCTTGTACTCATGGTTCTGTTGAACCTTAGCTTGCTACTGCTTACAATTGAGCAAAGCGTACCTCATCCGAGCTTGCTATCTTCTTTAACTCGAGAGCACTTAAATTAGTGGTATTCCCTACGGTGTTTGCCAGTAAATTAGAATTAGTTAACTCAAACAGTACATGATATATAGTGAAGAAATCACAAGCTTAAAAGCTGTTACATACCATCGATCTGTATAAATTAATTTCAGAGATATACAATTAGCAATTAACTGGCAGCGGCATAATAGCTTTGCAAAAGAAGCGAACATGATGTGTATTATTTACTTGTCACTGCAAGCGATGGTGATGTAAAGCTTCCTGCATTACCGGGCCGAGCTGCAAAGGTGAGTCGTGATAAACTTTATTACATTCAGATCACAAATGTTGATTAAAATATTTTTTTGAGCATTCAATTGATCCAGAGTACTACCTAATGTAGATCGAACCACTATACATGAATATTTGTCAGAACCACTATCAATGTTTGTCGTTGATGAAATCCCACTGATGGATCTGAGCAACCAAAACATCACATCAGCATTTGCATGTTCCTAGCAAGGCCGAGGAACCAATCATGAGTTTGTTCTGCGTATTGTATTCATGCAGAACATATGCGCCAAGCAGAACCTGAACCCGGACAGGTCGCCTTCAATCTCCCTCAAAATTTGTAAAGCTAGAAGGAACAAGAAAAGGGATTGCGATGAACAAGAGTTGTAGCCAATCGTTGTAGTTACAGGACAGATCGGTGGAGGAAGACCTTGGGGGTGCATGTAGCGACGCAACTCCTCGCTTGCGGCGGTAGGAAAGGGACCACTTGCGTTCCGGTATTTGCGCGACGAGCGCGGCCGCAACGGCGAATTGCCTCTCGCTCGTGGCGGCACCAGGGGCTCCGACCTCGCCTTCGTGTATCGGTGTGCGACTAAGGATGACCGAGCTACGGTGGAGTGTACGGTGAGGCGCTGGAGTGGAGGAAGGCTCTCGCCGGCGCAAGTGGAGGATGTTGGATCGGTTGAGTGTATTCAAGCGCTGGCGGGTCAGGCCGCGGTTGGGGAAGACCTCGACTTCGTCGGGGGCAGCGGTGGACTTCGGCGGCCACCGCGGATGGGGAAGAACTCGGCTCCAGCGGCAACTGGGGACGACGTCGGCTCCAGGGAAGACCACGGCTCCGGCGGTGGCTGGGGATGACCTAATCTCCGGCGTGGGCAGCGGGGGTGGCAGCGGAAGGGGACGACCTCGTTGCCCCGTCGCGAGGAGGAGGGAGGATGCGCACGGAGCGAGGAGACGGCGGGGATTCGTGGGTGTGGAGGAGAAGCGAGGAGGCGCGGGATTCGCCGGGCGGCGAGGAGGAGCGAGGAGGCAGCGGGGGAGGAGGGAGGAGCGAGGAGGCGGGGGCGATTTGGGGGGCGAAGTTGTCGCGGCGGGGAGGAGCGAGGGGGCGGAGGAGGCGGTGGGGATTTGTGCGGCGTAGTCATCGCGTGATTTCTGAATAGGTGGAATCGCTCATCGCTGTGCACAGTTAGGAGGATAACGGACGTATGAGATTAGATCAGATGGCGGATGGACGGTAGAGATTGATCCGGGTGATTTCACCAGTAGGATTGGAGAGGTACAACTCTTCCTTTTTATATTAGTATAGATATAACCTTGTGGTCACCATTGTACAAGAAGAGACAAGACGCTGCATGCATTTAAAAACACACACAAATTAGCTCATGTAAAGATGAAACATTTACACAGTATCATTCACTATACACTAATCCTATCTTACTATAAAGTTATCCCCCACTAACTCCTTAAGCTTAACATGCAAAGATGTCACATCATCATCCACTAACAAGATGGCACATCATCATCCACTAACAATCATCACATTTAAACATCAAGCAAACATGCTATATCTTCATCACATTTAAACATCAAGCAAACATGCTATATCTTTATAGTTTTTATAATTTAAGAGCTTTTCAAATACAAACATGTTAAATTATCATCTAACATAATTCACATAATGTTCCAATGTATATCTTCATTATGTTTTATGATATCATATATACTTATATAGCTCATCCTCACTTAGTAATTGCTTAAATGATTAATCTATGGTTCGAATTATATTTTTTAGTTTTTCCTCTAATTAAGTCATATCACATCAATTGTTTTTAGAATTTAGATGATTAATCTACGGTCCAAACTATCTCCCTACTTTTCTTCTTCCATAAAGTCATATCACCTTACTTTTTACGTTTGAATCACCATTCTGCATACTATTTAAATTTAAATTATCATAAATCATATTAATTTACTTAATCTGATGTTATTTAGCTATCTTACACGTTATTTTTTTATTGTTATCATACTAATTCCCGCAACAATGCGCGGGGTTTCACCTGATAAATTAAAGAACTGTACCCTATAGCAAAGGAACAAAGTGGTTAAACTTGGGTTCATGGAGAATTTCCTTTAATCAACTGGAAGAAAATTAACACTCTTTGTGGCCGCAATGTTCATATTTTATAGCAAAATAAATTTCTATATTAATTCCAAGTGTGATTGAACCCAAATTCCCAAAAAGGACTTCTGTAGCATAACTGTTCATAAGAGGTACGGTGTTTCCTATAGCCTGAAACAAAGATCAAATTAAAATACACTTAGAAAAAGAATCAACACAAACATGAATAATGTGAGCAAGGTTGATATTTTCATTTTACCTTTCTCTTTGCATATAAGATCACAAAAGCTACAACCATGCAGAAGTGGCTTTTTTAAATCGCAACACATTACACATGAGTTAATTGATATGACATCTACCATGTTAATTCACACACACCGCACGTGTATTGTTATATCCAAGGACTTTCGTATTTTTCTAGAGGAAAGTACTTTTGTATTTTAATGAAAGCTAGGCTTGAATATATGCTTTTGGCATGATATAAATTTATGTTCATACTTTTCATTCAAAGCCCTTTTCCTGCTGCATTGTGCCCCGTACTGTTCAGTTTTTAGATATATCCATTAATTGTATATGAGAGACAACTAAAGGAATCAGTATATATATTTGGTGTGTGTGTGTATATATATATATATATATATATATATATATATATATATATATATATATATATATATATATATTGTGCACGCTGCATTGCTAGTGGTCATAATAAACCATAAACCATGATAAAGACCATAATGAATACTTGCAATGGTTGGCGGTAGAAAATAGTACTGATTCATAAAGCATAACTTCAGCACTATAGGTTTCAATAGAGGCTGATTTATATCACGGAATAAATCAATTGGCAGAGTAAAAACCTTTGTTTTTTAAGGAGTAAAAATATTGGTAAACTGCTTTTACCTTCAATTCAGGTCATGAACTGAGGACATGGACTGGAAACAGCAGGATATGCGCACAGGAGGTTTCCAATCAGCGGGGTCACGCACACTGGTCTGCTGAACTTCTGAAGAATTTGCTAAGACATCTATTTTCAGTTTTTTACTCAGAGGGTAGAGAATAATAATCTACAAAATGTCTGCTATTGCGATTAACCTTGCACCAATTAAATCATATCCTACTTAGATAGCTCACAAATTCTACTCGCTTAGCCGCTGCATCTCAAAACTAACATATAGCATTGCAAGAAAATAGGAGCACGTCCAGCTATTTAGTTGTGAGCAGGAATTCTCATTGTGTAACACTATATGACAATATATCTGAAAATCGAAATTTGGTTGAGTTTGCCCAAGTGTGCGATTATCTGGACAAAAGGGGGGAACAGGGATCAAAGGAGTGGAGCAGGCAGCGAATTAGGATCAAACCTGAGTGGAGCACTGGGTGTGGATGGAGCTTGTAATTATCAAATCAATCCGGTAGGGCATGAGGGTCTCTACCGTTGGTGGAGAGGGATCCGGTAGGTCCGAAGGTGGGATCGTCGCCGATGAACGGTGGGGGGGAAGGGAAGGGAAGGGGCGACGGCGGGGCGAGGAGTTTCATCGGCGGTGGGGGAAAGGGAAGGGGCGACGGCGGGGTGAGGAGATTCGTCGGCGGCGACACACTGGAGATGGGGCAGTGCGAGAGAAAGAGACGGGGAGAGGGATGTGCGTGTGGGATGAGGATCTGGAAGGCGAGAAAGAGAGGGGGGGAGTGCGCAATTCAGGGAGGTGGAGGTAGGATTGATCTCGATCCTTCGATTTTACACTGGACGATCTGAACCGTTGAGTGATAAATGTAATAGTGTAGGAGTGAAAGATGAGTAAAATGAGTTGGTGCATTAGGGCACCCGCAATGGTTATCTATAGGCTCTCTATAAAAGATCCATGTCAGTATATTTTCCTACTTGGAAGATATTAAATGAAGAGAGAGAGCAAAGCTATTTACTAACCTGGAGATAGTCTATAGAGAAAAACGAGACAATGTATTAAAGAGCTATAGATACCCATGTAGACATACTATTGAGATAGTTTACTATTAATCTAGTCTATTGTTGAGATGTACATGTTTTATAGATAGCACATTACTTTACCATTGCGGGTGCTCTTATAGGGTAGATAAGAGAAGAGTGAGAGAGAGAGAGAGGAGAAAGGGAGAGGAGGGGAGAGGGTGATGATGTGGCAAGCTGACATGTGGGGTCTGCATGGATCCCACGCTGACTCAGCCGCCACGTAGACCAAAACTGGGGTCAAAACCACCAAAGGACCTCGGGTGACCGGTTTTGTATAGTTAAAGGACTCCGTATATCTCGTTTTGCGGTTTGAGGACGTTTTTTTATCCCGATGATAAGTTGAGGGACCTTTGGTGTACCTTTTCCAAACAAGTACAACGGTAGAAAAGGCCCAGACAGTCCAACCGAACCAGCCCACAAGGCCCAGTAGGCCCAGGAGAAGAGAAAACGGCCATCACCGCGGTATATAAATCGGTCCTTGCCCCACCACCAGCCACCCCACCCCGACCGACGCCGACCCCACCTCTCAGAATCCCCCCACCCCACCACCACCACCACCAATGATGGCTTCTTCCTCCGACCTCATCCTCTACAACCTCGTCCCCGCCCAACCCCTAAACCCTAGCGCCATCCCCAACCCTAACCCCGACCTCTCCATCGCCGCCGCCGAGCCCCCCTCCTCCGACGGCGCCACCCCTCGCCGCGTCAGGCCCAGGAAGTCCCCCTCCTCCTCCGACCGCCACTCCAAGGTCGCCGGCCGCGGCCGCCGCGTCCGCATCCCGGCCATGGTGGCCGCCCGCGTCTTCCAGCTCACCCGCGAGCTCGGCCACCGCACCGACGGGGAGACCATCGAGTGGCTACTCCGCCAGGCCGAGCCCTCCATCATCGCCGCCACCGGGACGGGCGTCACCCCGGAGGAGGCGCCCCCCGCCGCCGTCGCCATCGGCTCTTCCTCGGTCGCCGCCGCCGCCGCCGCCGGCGGGCATGGGGGCGCGTTCGTCCATGTGCCTTACTACACCGCGCTCCTCATGCAGCCGCCTAACGCGGACGAGCCCCCCATGGCATCCGCTGCCTCCGCCTCGGGCACCACCGCCGCCGACGAGAACAATAATTAATTTAGAACTGCCGCTGTTAGGTTTAGGAGCTTGGAGCGTGTTAGGGTTAGGGTTCCCCGGCTTATTTAGGAGAGGTCTCCCCCTCCTCAATAATTTAACCTCATTGTCCTTGTGGCGGTTGCGGCGGCGGCATGGATTTAGGTTATTTAGATGCCTTATTCAGGCAAGCAAATGAGGGGGTGATTCAGATGGTTTCTTAGAGAGGAGGGCAGAAAAATGGAGAGCTCTCTGTAAGTGGTGGGTGAGGACTGGAGTGAGTGGTACTGATGTTCTGATGAAACAATGCCTGAGTTATTGTGAATGTTTAGATCTGCTGATTTATTCTCCGTGTGCGCTTTTTATGTGCTATAGTAGATGATTCCATTTGGTGTTTACCTTGACTAGGAAGTAGGAACATGGTTTGGTTGTGCCGCAGAAGGAACAGCCTTGGGTTGTATCATGAGAGGAGCTTGGAAGTTGGAAACATAACCAAATTGACTTGGCTGTTACTGTCAGCTGGTTATTTTTGAATCTAACCAGAATTCAGATGCAGATTAACAAAAAAGGTTTTATTTGGAAATTGCTTGGAAGGGTTTTAGTGCTCAGGACATGTGTTCTGCGGTTGCATCTTGTCGTATTCTGAAGACGACGGTTCTGGATTGCCAAATACATGCTTTTATTCCTACTATGCTTGTTTTGGACGTCAAATAAAATGCATGTGCTCTTCCACAAGTGGATACACATCTCATTTGGAGGATTAGGTTTCCTTTTGTTGTAACTGTTTGCTCTATTTCTTGTTTATTACTTTTGTTTATTCTTAAATCATGTAGAAGAACTATAGTTGTAGTGGTTAATGTTTTTTGTCTGTTTGGTTTCCCTTGTCATAAAAAATTATACCTTTTGTCTTTGAGTTGGGAAACGACTTTATATGATGCTTAATTTATTTCATTGCTTTCTGGACATATTTATATCAATAGCAATGTGTTGGTGCATTCAACTTGCTACTGAAGACCTACAGTTTGTTGACCTCAATGCTTGGCATGGCTGCAAAGATTCAGGTATGGTGCTTTTGCTATGCTATAGTATTTTCTCTAAAAATTAGCTTCTTCACATGATCTTCCGAAGCATTAGTCTTCTGCAGAAATTAAAATAATACAGCTAGCCTTGTGGATGTGGAATTTAGTGATAGATTTAAAATTTTCATTATTCTCATATGCCATCATTTTCCATTTTATTTAGATGTAAATTTGCATGGATTTTCCCCAAGAATGCTTGATCGTTTCACGATTTACAGGTAACAGGCTATGTACCTTTTTGGAATTTTATAATTGTTGGGCATTTAAATGTTATTGAGTAATGTTATATGTATACTAACAAGCAAACATCAGATCAAAACTGAGTCGTGTAAGGAAATTTTTGGGTTGGATGTTCCAGAACATCTTGATAATCCATCAATTCTTTTAAAAGCGGTACGCGGTTTCATGTGGTCACCACACCTCGTAGCGCTTATGCGGCATAATTGGCCGCTTATGCGGTGGATTGGCCGCTTATGTGGCTTAAGCGGTACAAGGTTGGGGCACCTGTTCCTTGTATGCGGCCTTGTAAATGTTTTTTTAGAACACTGTAATCCACTATTTTGATCAGGGGGCTGATATGGTAACTGGATCCTTGTTCTAAATTAGTACCCTGTACAATCAATTTTTGTTTATTAACGTGGAATTTTTATATCCAAAGAAGGCCTCACGCAGGGCTGGTGCACCAATTTTGATGGGTAGCTGAATACCCATTTATTTTGTGTCTATGTTATATCGTGATAAAATGGAGTTTTGCTCTATTGGTTCATATATTTTCTGTATCTATGTATATAGTGAAGAAGGTGAATTTTGCTCTATTGGTTAGGCCTTGGATGCATCATTCTGGCTGTGGGTTTGATTCCCATGCTCTCCAGCCCCATGTCACCTTTTTTTCCCAGTATCTCTTGTTCGCCTCAATATCTTTGTATTGTTTCTCTCTTCCACCCGGTAAGATTTGAGAAACCTGCCATATTTTCTCAGAAATTCATCAGTTCTTTTCAAAAACAACCTATCATTGCATAAAAAAACTTGCATCTTTTCTACTGACGACATTAAATCTTTTATTTAAATACCACCACATAAGCTTCATATCTCCTGTGTTTGCCGCTGTGCCACCGCTTGTCCTAGCGCCATATGCTCCACGCTCCTCCCCTTGTGTCTTTATCTTTGCCCCATCTACTATTGTGCACTTGGGTCTTGGTCAAACAGCTCAACATGGAATCAATCGACTCAAGCCTAGCCTATCATGCAACTTGTACCTCTCCCCTACAATCAGGTTGTTACCACACTGCCATAGGCAGATTGCCACCTAGCTGCCACACATTTCCTTGCCTTGCAGCCTCCAACATGGCTCTAATCCCTGTTGAGCGGTGCAGATATGCTAATTAGGTGCATCACAAACTGTCATACTTGCCAGTTGCTTGACAAAATGATTGACTTCTTAAACTTTGAACCATTTGTGCATGTACTCTGTCCTTCTGTTGGATAAACTGTAGTGCTTGTGAGAGTGACGTGGTAATTCCATTTAACGTCAAAGGTGGAGTCTAGGGGTTGTGGGATTTCATGTCAAAGGGGAGTCCAGTTATCCTGCCATTTCAGTATTTAGCAGTTCATTATTTCCTTTTGACCATGCTCCATGCCGATAGATTATGCAACTGGGGCATTAATTGAACCATGTTACGATTTCTCTATATTCAGTCGAGTGATTGCTTATATTGCACCTGGTCTGATCATGAATGAGGTTATGAACCTGACTACTGCTTTCCAATTGCTCTTTGGGATGATATATGAATCTATGTTCTCTGAACTGCATGCTTTAGATTATTGCAAACATGTTGACCATTAAGTATAAATAATGTAGAGTTCTCAATTTGCAGTTCATTTTGATATATTTTCATTTTTCTATGTTCTTTGCAGCTGATACTTGAAGGAAATGCTTCTGATTGTTGTGTGTGCAACTGTGCATGTCACTCATTTTTCAATTTGGTTAAGTCTAATCATGGATTCCAGGTGTAGTTCCCTCTTCGCACATTCATACCTACGCAACATCCTGTTTCTGCATATGTATTGCCGTTAATTGTTGAAACTGCATCATAAACAAATTTTGCACTGAGAATATTTGACTTCTTACCTTTGTGGAGAATGCGTGGCCAGAGCATAGCTCATAACAAAATGGTAAGAGTGACTAAAGTCAATTGTCACTGGTTAGAGCATGGACTGTTTCTAAGTAAGATTTCTTTCTTCTGTAACATTTACTGGTTAACATATCTGAGTTCTGTGGGTGCTCACAAGTGAGCGTATTGTTTATGTATATTGACATATTGTTTCACTTCTAGACGATAAAGAAATCACGAATTTGTAGATAATGTGGGCCATTCCTATGGGCTTCTCCTTTTGCATCTGCATATTACATCTTTAAGTCTTCAATATGAACAAGAAATGATCTTTCTTGATTGGGAAAAAGTCAGTTATGTCAGGTCACTGGTTATTTCTTGATTGTTGAAATGGACTTTGATCATGGATCAGAACATGGTATTTTCTCCATTGAATTCTACAGGTACAGTTTCTTTTCCTTGTTACTGACCAATGCACTTTTGTCATCATCTGATTAGTGTTATCATCTGAAAACCAATCTGTATTTCAATGTGTTTTAATCTTCATCTGAAACCCATTGTACCAGCTCTGTTCCTTGACCACAAATCCAACTTGCAGAGAAGTACACTGACCTAGGATGGCTCCCAAGCAAGGACCAGGAAGTATACATCTAAAAAATAAAGCATTTTTTGTGCCCAAACATTTATGGTCTTGAACATCTTGGGTGTGTTTTGGGAGTCGTTTTTTAGCAGCGGTAGCAGCTGGAGCAGTTCAAAGTGGCTGCAGTTTGCAGCAATTTTGAACTGCCGCAGCCTCAGCAGCTGTGGCAGGTATGGCTGCTGAACAGAGCCCTTATTGTTCAATTATCACCCTGTGACAGGACTTTCTGAAGGCAAGCTTCTGCATCTAGAATTTCTATTTTGGTACTTATAGTTCTTGCGTGACATTTGTTCTGGCACAATGTACCAACAATTTTGATAGTGAATAACTGAGTACAATTTAAAAGATGAACTTTCAAGATGATTGTTTTGACGGATTCTGGATGACCTCTTATATATAAACTAGGCCACTTTGTAGGATCTGATTACTTGCAATTTCAAACGTTCCCCATTTCTCCATTTACTAACCATGAGCATCCATTTTACATCCAGGAATTTTAATAAAGAAGTAACTATGAAATATAAGGAAGTTACTCCCCAATGCCTTGAACCACGTGGCCCATGCTGTTGGCCTGTTGTTTGTGTAGGCAGAGTTCTGTTGTATGCGTAGATTAGGAGTTCTGGTCGAGTATAATTGCTGGATCTTAGACTAGGTTCATGGCAAATTTGCAATGTGCTACACGGGACTGTATTCGTATGTGGTGATTTGATCCATTTAGGCAATCAATCTTCGTTATGGCGAACTGGTGTCTGTTTAGTTAGTATTGCAAAGTCGCAAACTGGCTACCATTGGATGACTTTCTTTATGATTTCCTTTTTAAAATCAAAATTTCCATGGTAAATTTGATTTAACTAGGAAAAATGCCTGTGTGTTGCAATGGGTGAAAAATAAAAGTACACCAAATATTAAATAACTAAATGACATTTTTTTCATAACCTAGTGAGATATGTTTTCTTTCCGTGTAGAAGCACTATATGTTTTTTTTACATATTTATAAATTAATTTACTACGGTAATAAAGAAATATTTATTCACAATTGTGGCTTAGAAATCAACACATTAATTGAAAGAAAAATATACGCTGTTGATCATAGTGGATCTAGAAAAAGTTTTGGTCCATGTTTAGATATAATGATGTAGATTTATCAATTATAAGCTATATCTTTATAATTAGAATTAGATTTAATCCAAATGATCTCATATCGGCTAGCACACATGGGATACAACTGGGGTCAGGGAACATGAACACAAAATAAATGATAGATTATAAATCAACAATTATTTAATTAGAAAAAGAATCAAAATCGTCACTTTCTAGTTTGGGCAGAATATGGAAAAGAAAATCCTCCCTTTCAAGGTTGGGCTGAATATGGAAAAGAAGTCCCAGCATAAGTCTAATTTACCTTCCTGTCGCTACAGTAGCTTCTTCAGGTTCCAGCCAAACCAGAGCCCTGCCTGTACCCGACGACACCTCAATCCGGCGTCCGATTCAACCTGCCTATACCCCACGCCACCTCAATC